CCTACGATTGCATAGCATTGAGCTATGGCTGTGACAGTAGTGTCAAAATGCATTCATTCTACAGTGTGGATGCACCTATAATCTTAACACCCAAACCATACAAGATACGAGGCTAAAAACCCAGGGCACGGATCTCCATATAATCTTGCAACACTGCTTGAGGCTATGAGGTACTTACAGCTGTTTCTCCTTTCTTATATATATATAACCCATTTAGTTCAGTGCCTGTTCTTCCCCAGGGTCTGTCCCTTCCGAAAGCAGTGCAGCTTAAGCAAGTGTAGGTGACAAGTTTTCTTTTCCCCCAGCTGTCATCTTTGCTGCCTTATTTAAAATTTCAGACTGTTTTTTTTAAAGCATCCCCATCGATAGATTTTAATCTTGCTGTCAGACATGGGAACCCGTTTGGGTCTGCAGTGTTGGCATTCACGTGAGAGGAGATTAGCGTACGTTGAAGTGCAGAGTCAGGGAAAATGTGACCTTCCTGTGCAGCGCAGTGGCTCGCCTGCCATAATCCATAGCGAGCGTGAAATGGGCGGCAAATCACATTCCACCGACAAAGCAGCACCAAGGTGTTTGTGTGTTTAATATATGTGTGTGAGAGAGATAGAGATCAGTGGGAGGAGGGAAAATCCAGGCGCTTGAATTACAAGTAACCCTATCTTGGTGTCCGGTGTCAAGCCAGGTTGCTCCTTTGTGATGCTCACTGAAATGGAGAGAGTCGATCCTCTTACAATATCTTTTAGGTGCCCTAAAGTTGCATGCATCTTATGCTGGAATCGTTTGAACTCCCTTTGGATGTCTTGGGATGCATTTGTAGAATGAATGCAGTTGTGATGCAACTTGAACTGCCATAAATAAGTGCTATGAAATCCTAGGATTTGTAGTTTGGTGAGATAGCAGCACTTTTTGGCAGATCTTGTAAAACTACAACTGTGTCATCAGCCCCACGCCCCAGAACAATATAGTAATATATAATACTAATATTATTTGCTTATGAGTTTTACTGTGTATCGTATGTTGTTGTTGTCGGCGGCCTTGGCCTTTGTAAGCTGCATCAAGTCCTTCGGGAGATTTTGCGGGGTATAAATAAAGTTAATAATAATAATAATAATAATAATAATAATAATAATAATAATAATATTGTGCTATGTTAAAAATAAAATATATTGTATGTACATATAATATTCATCATAATATTGTAATACAATATAATACTAATAATACTACAATATAATAATAGAATCATAGAGTTGGAAGAGACCTCATGGGCCATCCAGTCCAACCCCCTGCCAAGAAGTAGGAAAATTGCATTCAAAGCAACCCCGACAGATGGCCATCCAGCCTCTTTTAAAAGCTTCCAAAGAAGGAGCCTCTTCCACACTCCGGGGCAGAGAGTTCCACTGCTGAACAGCTCTCACAGTCAGGAAGTTCTTCCTCATGTTCAGATGGAATCTCCTTTCTTGTAGTTTGAAGCCATTGTTCCTTTGCGTCCTAGTCTCCAGAAAACAAGCTTGCTCCCTCCTCCCTATGACTTCCTCTCACATATTTATACATGGCTATCATGTCTCCTCTCAGCCTTCTCTTCTTCAGGCTAAACATGCCCAGCTCCTTAAGCCGCTCCTCATAGGGCTTGTTCTCCAGACCCTTGATCATTTTAGTTGCCCTCCTCTGGACACATTCCACCTTGTCAATATCTCTCTTGAATTGTGGTGCCCAGAATTGGGCACAATATTACATGTAATATTACTAATAATATTGCAGTATAGTGATGTAATACAATGTGGTAATATTTAATGCTAATACTGTGCTATGCTAATAATATAATATATGTACATATAATATTGATCATAATATTGTAATGCAATCTAATACTACTAATAATACAATATAATAAATGCATATTATATATTACATGTAATATTACAAATAATATTGCAGTATAGTGGTGTAGTATAATGTAGTAATATATAATGCTAATATTATGCTATGCTAATAATATAATATAGGTACATATAATATTGATCATAATATTGTAATGCAATATAATATTACTAATAATACAATATAATAATATTATATTTTATATTACATGTAATATTGCTAATGATATTGCAGTATAGTGGTATAGTATACAATATAGTCATATATAATGCTAATAATATAATACATTGTATGTACATATAACTTGTAAGCCTCTCTGAGTCTCCGTGGGGAGAGAGGGCTGGGTATAAATAAACTACATCTTCTAAGATTCGATAGCATTGAGCCATGGCAGTCAAAGAGGTGCAAGACTGCATTAATTTTACAGTGTGGATGCATCCTTATTAGGTTCTTGACCTGCAACTGGATTGCAAAAAATTACATGCTTTTATTCAGATTATTTCCTTTTCTTCCCTCTGCCTTTTGTACTGCGAGTGAAGTTTGGAGACAGGGAGAGACCTTCTTAACATCACCCATGCTTAAATCCTTACTGAAATGATCCAGGAGAATGTGGATGCTTTGTGTTTATCTCTGTGGTCAGTTGTGGGATGCCAAGATTTCTCGACAAACAGTTGCTTTACACAACTGTTTCTGTCATTTAGCTTTGTTTGCTTGTGTTCCATTTGGCATAGGTTGCAACAGCCACATTTCAGTTGGTCTTCCAAAAGTGTGAGTTTACACAATTACAACATCGGGTAGCATAACTTTCTGCAATACAGAAAACACATTTATTTTTTACATAAGCCTAATTTGGAACACAGTTAAGAAGCGACTGCAGATCAGAAGTTAGACTAGAAGAGATGTGTCTATGTATTGTCAAAGGCCTTTATGGCTGGAATCACTGGGTTGTTGTGAGTTTTCCGGGCTGTATGGCCATGTTCCAGAAGCATTCTCTCCTGATGTTTTGCCTGCATCTATGGCAGGCATCCTTGGAGGTTTGAAACTAGGAAAATGGGGTTTATATATCTGTGGAATGTCCAGGGTGGGAGAAAGAACTCTTGTCTGTTTGAGGCAAATGTGAATATTTCCGAAATTCCCCACCAGGCACTACCCTACTCACCCATCTCACCCAGGGTTTTTATGTATTTTTATATTATATATATATATATATATATATATATATATATATATATATATATATATATATATATGAGTTTAGATTTTATTCTACCCCTTTTAACTTGGCCTAGCCCACTTGTACTAATTTTGTACTAATTTTGTACTAATTTGTTTGTTTACATCTCATTTGATGTTATAATTTGCTGAATGTATTTCATTTGATTTGATGTAATTGTTCGGGCTTGGCCCCATGTTAGCTGCCCCAAGTCTCCGTCGGGGAGATGGTGACAGAGTATAAAGTTTTTTTTAATTATTCCTATTATTATTATTATTATTATTATTATTATTAATGTTTCAGTTGGCCAGCATTTAATGGCCTAGAAATTTCAAGGTCTGGCTTCTTTCTTTCCTGCTTTTAAGAGTTTCAACAAAAAGGAAGAAACCATGAAAATGAACAAAATCTGGCTACTAGTATTTTAAAAAACTCCAAAATCAGGATAATAAATAAAGAACAACATGCAAAAACGGGGAATTCCAGACAAGAAGCAATCAGGGCCAGCTAATCACATCCCAGCAAAGGGTTCCCCAAGGCAGTAAAAAGCCAAACCTTGAAATTTCTAGGCCATTACATACTAGTCAAGGTGGCCAATTGTACATTCATACTTGCCTCCATCAGACAAGAGTTCTTTCTCCTACCCTGGACATTCCACAGATAGATACACCCCATTTTCCTAGTTTCTAATAGACCTCATAACCTCTGAGGATGCCTGCCATAGATGCAGGTGAGTGTGTGTATGTTTCAGGAGCGACTTGAGAAACTGCAAATCGCTTCTGGTGTGAGAGAATTGGCCATCTGCAAGGACGTTGCCCGAATGTTTTACCATCCTGTGGGAGGCTTCTCTCATGTAGGTGAAACGTCAGGAGAGAATGCTTCTGGAACATGGCCATACAGTCTGGAAAACTCACAACAACCCAGATATGTGTCTTTTTACTTTTGGATTTTGGCTGTATTCAGTTCACCTGATTATTCACTTCTTGTATTGTCGAAGGCTTTCATGGCCAGAATCACTGGGTTGTTGTAGGTTTTTTCGGGCTGTATGGCCATGTTCTAGAGGCATTCTCTCCTGACGTTTCGCCTGCATCTGTGGCAAGCATCCTCAGAGGTAGTGAGTTTTGTTTGAACTAGGAAAGTGGGTTTATATATCTGTGGAATGACCAGGGTGGGACAAAGGACTCCGGTCTGTTGGAGCTAGGTGTGAATGTTTCAACTGACCACCATGATTAGCATTTGATGGCCTGGCAGTGCCTGGGGCAATCTTTTGTTGAGAGGTGATTAGATGTCCTGGTTAGTTTCCTCTCTGTTGTTTTGCTGTTGTAATTTTAGAGGTTTTTTAAATACTGGTAGCCAGATTTTGTTCATTTTCATGGTTTCCTCCTTTCTGTTGAAATTGTCCACATGCTTGTGGATTTCAATGGCTTCTCTGTGTAGTATTCACTTCTTTCCCTAAGCAAGCATAGCTGAAATATTTCCATTTTGTCCATCTCTCTTTAAAGATTTGACTATCTAGGCTTTTTTGTTGGTGCCAATTAAAAGTGTGCAACCAAGAAGAAAAACCCACCAAACAATTACGTAGCAGTTGTTTTGATCCATGCGGAAAACTGGCGTAGATACAAAGAGGTGCATATACTTAGCAACGTTCCCTCTGGTCCAGTAAAACATGGGAAGTTACACAGAACAGCTTTTATGACCTTAATTGAAAAATGTAACGACACATTCAATCTGTTTGACATGGCTTTCTTGGTTGTTGTATGTTGTTGTTGTTCGTTGTGAGCAAGAGTTGGGACATACTACCGTATTTTGAAAAAAAATAACTGTATGCTGTTGCTTATTATACTGTGATAAAAGGTAATTAGCAGCCACACGAAAGTAATTCTGTTTTTTCCCCTTCCTCTTTCATCAGAGCACAACAATGGAAGAAACGGCGATATGGGAACAACACACAGTGACGCTTCACAGAGTAAGTATTTGTGATTCTACTTCTGTGTCTGTAACTCAGGATACCAGCTGCTCTTGGAAACAATAGCAAATATCCAGATGTCCAGATGGAGAGAAGAAAGGAAACCTTCCTATTCTTCTTTGAAACGGATGTGCTTGTAAACAGCTTCTTGTAGTTCGGGCATGCATTTTGACCACCTTTCTGCAGCAATTCTCAGTGTAGGATGCCTCTGAGCTGGGATTATATTTAAACTTGGGATCCCATAGAAGCAGGCGTGATTTGTTTCCCTCTCCTTTCAGAGAAGGTGAGGGCAGCATAACAAAGGATATGCTAATGGTCGAAGGCAAAGCTTTGTGGATGCTTCACAATTGCCAAGCTCTCCCTGCATCTATCTCCAGCCCTGTTTCCACTGGGGAAGTGCTGTGGCGCACTGATAAGAGCAGATGCTTTGCATGCAAAAGGTCACAAGTTCAGTCCTTGGCGTTTGGAGGCCGGGCTGGGCAATGGCTGGAGTCTCAAACCCTGGAGAAGGCTCTCCGTTTTGAACAGACAGGGTTTGACTACATGGGCCAATGGTTTTGGCTCTCTGTCCCTGTACTGCAAATTAGCAGGATGCTTCACTGGCCACAGTGCAGGCCTTGATGAAAATGTAAGCTCCTCCTTTTGTTCATTAAATTTATATTGTGTCTTTGCAAGTGTAATTTTTTATTTGCTTGTTGTTTTGTTTTTACTGATGTGTTGTTGGGCTTGGCCTCATGTAAGCCGTCCCGAGTCCCCTTGGGTCAGTGGTTCTCAACTTTCCTAATGCCGTGACCCCTTAGTACAGTTCTTCATGTTTTGGTGTACATAACATAAAATTAATTTCGTTGCCACTTCACAACTGTAATTTTGCTATTATTATTAATTATACTGTAAATATCTGATATGCAGGCTGTATTTCCATTCATTAGACCAATTTTAGCACAAATGCCCAATGCACCCAATTTTTAGTACTAGGGGTGGGGGGAGGTTGGAGGGGATTGATTTTGTCATTTGGGAGTTGTAGTCACTAGGATTTGTAGTTCACCTACAATCAAAGAGCACTCTGAACTCCATCAATGATGGAATTGAACCACATTTGGCACACACAAGTCCCATGACCAGCAGAAAGTACTGGAAGGGTTTGGTGGGCATTGACCTTGAGTTTTGGAGTTGTAGTTCACCTATATCCAGAGAGCACTGTGGACTCAAGTAAATGATGAAATCTGGACCAAATTTGGCACGGATACTCAATATGCCCAAAGGTGAACACTGGTGGAGTTTGGGGGAAATAGACCTTGACATTTGGGAGTTGTAGTTGCTGGGATTTATAGTTCACCTACAATCAAAGAGCATTCTGAACCCCACTGATAGAATTGGGCCAAACTTCCCACACAGAACCCCCATGACCAACAGAAAATATTGTGTTTTCTTATGGTATTTGGCGACCCCTCTGACACCCCCTTGCAACCCCTCAAGGGGTCCCGACCCCCAGGTTGAGAAACGCTACCTTGGGGAGATGGTGACAGGGTGTAAATAAAGATAATAATAATAATAGTAATAATAATTATTATTATAATTATTATAATTATTATTATTAATGCTCCAAATGGCTAACAGTAAGATACAATAAGGTGTTTTGTGGAGATTAGTGCTTATTTAGGTGTGAAGTGGCCCAATTCATTCATCAGAAATTGGAGAGGTGTTGCTGTTGTCCTCCCTGTTGATTTTTTCACCGACCACCTTTATATAGTGCAGGGGTAGGGAACCTTTGGCCCTCCAGCTGTGGTGGACTTCAACTCCCACAATTCCTTGAGGCTCGGCATTGGGCCAAGGTAAGCCTTTGGGGCGAATGCCGAGCCTCAAGGAATTGTGGGAGTTGAAGTCCACCACAGCTGGAGGGCCAAAGGTTCCCTACCCCTGATATAGTGTGATCCCCATAGCTCTGGAGGATAATGATAATAATAATAATAATAATAATAATAATAATAATAATCTTTATTTATACCCTGCCACCATCTCCCCCAACGGGGACTCGGGGCGGCTTACATGAGGCCAAGCCCAAGCACCAAATTACAGCAAAAAAAAAAAAAGGCAAACAAACCAAAACACAAGCAACATACAACAACATCATAATTACATAAAAACATATGAATACATTAGCAATATAAAATTACAATAACACAATCGCAGTGACAGTGGGCGGGCCTCATGTGAATACATTAGCAATATAAAATTACAATAACACAATCACAGTGACAGTGGGCGGGCCACATGTGCAGAACAAAATGATTAAAAAACTCGGGTGAGATTATTTGAGAAGGGGAGCTTATAAAAAAAAAACAGGGTTGTGGGACCAAGCTTTCCTACGAGGGAGGGGGGACATGGACTCCAGTGACAGAAACATTGAGGGTGAGCAATAATGTGCGGTTGTGTACCTACTCACCAAAGGCACAGTGGAAGAGCCAGGTTTTAAGGTTCTTTTTAAAGGTTTCTAGGGTAGGGGTGGAGCCCCCGGTGGCGCAGTGGGTTAAAGCACTGAGCTGCTGAGCTTGTTGATCGAAAGGTCGCAGGTTCGATTCCGGGGAGCGGCGTGAGCTTCCGCTGTCAGCCCTAGCTTCTGCCAACCTAGCAGTTCGAAAACATGCAAATGTGAGTAGATTAATAGGTACCGCTCCGGCAGGAAGGTAACTTTGCTCCATGCAGTCATGTCGGCCACATGACCTTGGAGGTGTCTACGGACAACGCTGGCTCTTCGGCTTAGAAATGGAGATGAGCACCACACCCCAGAGTCAGACATGACTGGACTTAATGTCAGGGGACTACCTTTACCTTTTAGGGTAGGGGATTTCCTAATCTCTCCAGATAATGAGTTCCAGAGTTGGGGGGGCATAAAGGAGAAGGCTCTCCCCCTTGTGTCCACAAGGTGAGCTTGTGAAACTGGCAGGGGCGAAAGGAGGGCCTCCCCTGAAGATCGGAGGGCCTGGGCTGGTTCATGGAGGGAGATAATTCCCCATACGATGATTATCTAGAAAGTCAGGTTACAAGATTTTTAATGACTATATTTCAATAAAACTTACATGGATTGTAGCATAGATATTACATTATTTTTCTACATAATCACCATTCAGTTCAATACATTTTGTCATCCGTTTGACGTGTTTTTGATGCCTGTGTCATAGAAGTTCCACTCCACTTTTCTCAGCCAGTTCGTCACTTTCATTTTCACCTCCTCGTTGTCACAAAACATTTTTCCACCAAGGTGTTCCTTCAATTTAGTGAACAGATGATAGTCACTGGGTGCAAGATCGAGACTATGAGAGGGGTGGCTTAAAACATCCCAGCCCAATGAAGTGAACAAGTCTTGTGTTGCATGAGCAGTGTGCGGACACGCATTGTCACGAAGGAGACAGAGTCCCGCTGTCAGCATCCCACAACATTTGTTTTGGATGGCTCTGTGATGTGTCTCATGATCGCACAATATATTCTGTATCCATTTTGTCGCATGCTGTCTTGACATTGCGTCCTCCATAAACTGAAACGATTTTGTGATGAATTGCATTGTTGGAGTCAATGCTCTTAGCATTTAGATAGCATATGACAGTGCGAAGTTCGCACTTGGAGAGAAACAGAATGGGGACGCTCATCTCTAATCTTCATCACAACGCCAGTTGATGAGATACTGACAACTGGCACTGCTCGTTCACTTCCCGCTATAAGGCAGTGATACCAACTTCTCCCAAGAAAATTCCCCAAAGAGTGCCTTGTAATGTTACTTTTCGGATAACCCTCGCATGATCCTGGACTTACCATGGAAACATGAAACTCTATTGAACTGAACAACTTCTGGCAGAATCATACCACAGAATTGTGCCGACGGGCTTGGAAAATGCCTACAGAGAACAGCTTTTCAGCATTTTGAGGTCCTCCAGCATAACTATGTGATTGTTAGCCAAATTGAGTCCCTACATGGAAGAAGATGGGATATAAATAAAGAAGAAGAAGAAGAAGATGATGATGATGATGACGACGACGACGATAACAACAACAACAACAACATAGAATCATAGAGTTGGAAGAGGACTCATGGGCCATCCAGTCCATGCAAAGAAGCAGGAATATTACATTCAAAGCACCGCTAACAGATGGCCATCCAGCCTCTGTTTAAAAGCTTCCAAAGAAGGAGCCTCCAACACACTCCAGGGCAGAGAGTTCCACTGCTGAACAGCTCTCACAGTCAGGAAGTTCTTCCTAATGTTCAGATGGAATCTCCTTTCTTGTAGTTTGAAGCCATTGTTCCATGTCCTAGTCTCCAGGGCAGCAGAAAACAAGCTTGCTCCCTCCTCCCTATGACTTCCTCTCACATATTTATACATGGCTACCATGTCTCCTCTCAGCCTTCTCTTCTTCAGGCTAAACATGCCCAGCTCTTTAAGCCACTCCTCATAGGGCTTGTTCTCCAGACCCTTGATCATTTTAGTCGCCCTCCTCTGGACACATTCCAGCTTGTCAATATCTCTCTTGAATTGTGGTGCCCAGAATTGGACACAATATTCCAAAGCAGAATAGAGGGGTAGCATTACTTCCCTAGATCTAGACACTATGCTCCTATTGATGCAGGCCAAAATCCCATTGGCTTTTTTTTGCCGCCACATCACATTGTTGGCTCATGTTTAACTTGTTGTCCACGAGGACTCCAAGATCTTTTTCACACGTACTATTTCCGAGGCAGTCAGGATTAGACAATTCTCTATTTTAGACACAGACTGAAACATGCCTGGAACCTTTTGTAGTCTTTTACCTATGTTCATAGCCATCTTGTATGGCCTCAATCAGTTAAATCCTGTATTTTAACCAGTTTTAACTGTTGCCATTCCAGCTTGTCAATATCTCTCTTGAATTGTGGTGCCCAGAATTGGACACAATATTCCAGGTGTGGTCTAACCAAGGCAGAATAGAGCATGGGGAGCATGACTTCCTTGGATCTAGACACTAGTCTCCTA